TGGATCGGTAAAATGAATTAATTTATGTACAGAGTTACGTGCTCCTTACCTCTCTAAATTGAAAAAAAAGAAAACTACAAATAATACAGGCGTTAACAAGTCAATAATTACCTCACCTCTCTAACAAAAAATAGAAATTCTCCGAAATTATTAATGTTTGGGTTTCCCCCAGTTATCCCTTTAACAGTCAATACGTAGTAAAATATGTCAACACATTGATAAACCTGTTGTGAATGGTCGTGCACCTTATAGATTATTACTAAACGGCGTTTACAATGTTATGTCATATACATGTGTCATGGGGTAGTATAAAATATTAATCAATACTGTTTTTTGTTTTCAATCTTTAATCCTTAAACGCAAAATTGGGTCTCGCATTTAGTCAAACATATATCTCTTTTCACACCAAGGAGTCATTCAATAACTAATAGTTCGGTTATCCTATTATTATACTCCTATAGTAACATGTACTTACCGTTCACAAGTGTTAACACAAAGTGATATTTACGGGCTGTTCTCACTTTGTATAGACGTATTTTGTTAATGTATAATAAATCATCTATGATAATACTATATTGCCACCAATTATAACCAAACGATCTAACTAATATTTGTGCGACGGGCCTGAGCTAGCCAATGACCGACAAAGCAGTCCTACGTCACATGTATGTTCTCAATATGGGCTTTGTAGATTGCAGCCAGAAATAGGAGAAGTATTGAGACTCAAAAAGCGGGCTTTGCTATATGTACAGTTATATTTCTTAATTTCCTTATTTTAGTCTTCGTCTCACGAGATATGACCCAAAACGTGTTTAATTCGGCGTACAAACAATCAAACAAAAATCATGTTTCATGTTAGTTAAAAGGTACGATTAATATCAGATAACTATGTGTACTCGAACTACTTGTTAATTCGTAAGTATACCTATTGAAGTTTCAGTTATCATACATGCTTCTGCAACTTTTATGTCAAATATGTTCTGCTGTTTCTAGTAACGCGAGCGGTTTAAAACAGAACATGTGAGTTTGCTGCTGGTCAAAAAAAAAATCTGGAAACAAAGTGATCCCTCGGAAGCATTGATCACAACAAAATTACATAAGACTTGCAGACTCGGTTTAATTGAGTCTGTACATGAGGGATAATGATTAAGTGCAACATCCCACACGCCCCCTTGCACCGGCTTGATCGGTACTCTATTCTCAGAGCGGTACTCAATTCTCAACACTTAATAGTGCTGGCATGGTTCGTAAAGCCTTTATAAAGCATACGATAGAAACATTTAAAGTCAACGCAGTTTGTAATTATTAATCGTAAATTAGTTTTAGTTGCGGGCCCTTTCTCTTTTGACCAGGTCAGTATGACATTTGACCTTACATCTTTAACCGACAATACTTGAACTACCTCGTTATTGGTCAGACAAACTTTTTCTAATGGTTACGGTACTTGACTTTTGGATTAAAGGGTTATTTAAGTGACAGATCTTGGAATTTCACTTATGTGGTCGGACGTCCGGCTGTTCTACAAATTGCAAGCAATTCTAGAAGACATTTTAGAACAAAGTATAATTACTTTCTAGCTTTATTACCTGATAAATATTTAGGAACTTTTAAAGCCGATTTACTAAAGTTAATATGTAACTGTTCATTTGAAATACATGTTCTGCCATTCTATTGGATGTAAATAATTTCAGACACCAAGAGAGCATTAATTGCATAGAACATGTCGCTTCAATTTTATCAATTCTGACACAAAAATACTAACCATTATTGAAAAAATATAAATTATCAAAGTACTTGTAAGTACTGATGGAAAGCGGTTTTCAAATTGTGAAAACATAATCATAAATATTTTTACGTCGCACCATTTTAAAGGGGAAGTAGCTCCGAAAAACTTACACAATATAGACTCTTGCCCTACAAATTGGCCTCACGGTAACTTTATAATGTTACGCCACTGTACTGAACAGGAAATATCACAGCTATAACGATTTTCAAAGTGTTTTCCCTATAACTTTCATGATTTATAGTACTTCTATAAACTGCTTTCGATAAATTAATAACTGTAATTGAGATAAAAAAAATACTTTAATAGCATAGAACTATATTTTGACGTGTATGAATGGATTCATAATTGGCATATTGAACTGGAAACTACGGCATATGAAGGCAATATCTCCTTCAAAAAACAAAATTTTATAGTAAACTTTACTTACATGATGTCACTGTCGAAAATCCTCATTTCCTTTATGTATATTTCACGTATGAACTTATTTTTAGGTTAAAGCCTTAGTTAAATGAAACAAGGACATTATTTATTTCTTTACATCAATAAGTGGGATGGTTTAAAAATTTAAATATATACAACTCATAAAGTTTGAATGTTGAAAACAATATCAGTTTACTTATTACATACAAGAACAATAAAGAACGGTATAACTTCCTTATTTTAAAGAATACAATGAATAAATGGTGAAGTTAACATCCTAACCGCAAATACACAATGACTTGTAATAGAGTGTCCACTTAATACTTATAATTCTACTTCCTTTCTATCATAAAGATGTGTCCAAATAAAATCGAAACAAACAATTAAATGTTGATTTAGTGAGGTTTCAACGGATAAATAAGGTTACCACGGATACAAAAGGGTTCTACGAATAAGTAAGGTGTGACTAGTTTTAGCATGCAATTTACGTTTGTATCATAGTTTAAAGACATTAATATTGAAAACATGTCAGAGTTAAATCGTAAACCAATACATGCTAGCGTTATCAAGAGTGCAGGTATTAGTTACAGCACTAAGTATCTGTATAGAGCATGCCCGCTGATTGGCTAATTTTTTCAGAGGTTTACTTATTTCGACGACATAGAAAAATGTAACGATAGAAACTTTATATTCAGATGCTCGTACATTGGTTACTTTTTTTCGGGGGTGACAGGGAACGTGTTTTTATTTTTGCCTATGATACAAAAGAGAAAGCGATATATAAAATACGAGTACATGTACATGTATTTACCTACCGGCTCCTTTGGTAGAGCAAATATATACATATATACCACCTGTTATTGTTCAATTGTTCTCTCTATACAAAACAGATATTTACGGACCCTAATGCTCACCGACAAGAATAAGGTTTTCATACCTTTTTTTCTTACCTAGATAGTATAAGACATTTATTTCTCAAATATTAGGAAATTTCACCATCTGATTTTTATTATTATTATTTTAGTGCCACACCCCGCTCTTTGCATGTTTACTCAAATTTCAATCTCCCTGGCATATTTAGAAGAATTATGTTTGCATATAAAACATAATTTTTGTACAAATTATCTATGTCTTTGTTTTTAGTTTGGACCTGTACATTGTACAAAGTGACTGTAAGTGACAAGTATTCATTACGTTTTTATATTTTCTTCATCTTAGATAAATGCATGCGCATAAAATGAACTCCCCTTTTCACAGGTTCAAAAATTACATATCTTTTCCAACAACTAAATCCAGTGTTTGTATGTAGGAAATCTAATCAAAGTTAAATAAGAAATATCTTTATATGTATATAAACAAGTTCTTAAAGTATAAAAGACCTTTACCATCTAGATTTTTTGCTATAACAGTTTGAGTTTGATACATACGGAATTTTGCATGGTCAGAGTTTCTAACTTGAATTATAATATCACTTATGTACATTTTTTATGACAGCCATACTTTATCCTTGTATATCCGGAGCACAGCAAATATGATATTTTCTTGTGCAAACACACTTTAACCGTTTTAGCTTCACGGTGCACTAAGCCCGGGGTTCAGTGAAAGTAATCATCTCGTAAAAAGATTAAATTTGTATGAAAACATCCGTTACAATGCGGAAATATACCGTTAAATTAGGACTGCTACTTATAGTCATGTTTGATGTACGGATGATCCGAAGGTGGAGCTTCTAATGCAAACAGAACTTGTACATCCCATTTCGACACAATGAGGTTACCTATTTTTATGCTAATAAAACTTATTTTGGTTGTCTGGACACCAAAATAAGACCTGGAGTCGATATAAAACCCAATTTATTAATGAAATGTCGCTATTTAGTTTTTTATGAAATTTATTAAATGTAGCTTTAAGTATATTCTTTATATCGATCAGATATTAGTTTGTCGTAAATAATTCCGAAAAACAGATCTTTGAAGTATATATTTCGGCAAATGATGTAGGGTTTACCGAAGCTAACTTTTAAACAAGAGCCAAATTGTTGCTTATATTAACATCATGAATATCGTCGAATGCACACGAACTTCAAACGTCTAGAGAACATAGCCAGTACGGTATTATTTGCAGACATTAACTGGTCGGTTATAGTGATTTCAAGTATCGCTATTTACTAAAGACGGTGTAAATACTATGCAAACCTATTCCACGTAAGGTGCGATTTTTATCCCTTATATTATGTTCTATTATGTAGCTGTATTTTGTATAAAAGTGTTCTGCGTTAATACGAACAGTATTGGAATAAACGATTCTCGAATTCATATTTTGGCTTATGATTACTTAGAGAAATCGAACGTAAAAACAGTCTGATAGTTGAACATCACTACCCGTTGGATAATCGTGACGTTTATAAAGTTTTACATAAACGGCTGCGGAATCCCACTTTTCTCGCTACTGCGTTCTAAATTTCGTTTTAAATATTTCTGTTATATGGGCGAATTAAAACTATTGTTTGCAATATAACCGTTTATATAGGGACATATAACCTGTCAAAACATTTTTGTAACTAATAATATACAATGGCGTATTATCTTCGAAAATTTTAAAGACAATAACAAACGTGCTTATGTCCCATAAAGTATATTATCCTTTGTAATATTCCATAATAAAATTCAATATGACGCTATCTATGTTACTTCATTCTTTTTTTCGACAAATTACAAAATTTTCAAAATTCTTTGAATAAACACTACATGTGACATATGTATTTTAAGGAAATAAATGAAACAAAAACACTCACAGTTCGTCAAAGTTTGTCTGCCAATGAAATCGCTCTATTTTGTTTACATTTTTTTCCGCAATATTGACCATACAGTGTTGTAACTCAACTGTATGTATAACATGTATATGTAAAACGAGTCGTTTAAAACTAATGTCTTAAAACTGTGTTTATAAACTACAACCTATACTTATTAACCGGATATGACATCATTAGCATGCTTTCACGGCCTGTTTAGTATAAGTTTAACAATTTAAATATATTTGTTTTACACTTATTTGAACCTGGTTATAAGATCATGATCTAGAGAGTTCGCCATTCAGTCAATAATTTAAAAAAAATCTCTAAACTGAATTAATGTGCATCTAACATGCTAAGTGTTAAAAGCACGTACGACGTCAGTAATGACGTTTTGATGGCATATGTGATAATTTTTATTTTGTGATGGAAATACTGTCATGAGTATTGCTAGCAATATCAAGTTTGAGCTATTTAATCCACCAAAAGATGCTCGAATCAGGAAATAGATATCAATTCTGAGTGCATTGTTGTAGAATAATGATCGTTGTAGAATAATTGCACAGTCAGTTCAAATCTACGCAATATAATGAGCCCGTCACACAAAACAACATAACGGTTGCACCAAATCTGATCAACTGCGCTATAGTTTCTACTTGTAAGAAGTGGTACGAACACATGCTCCATGCTGGCGCAAAACACTATTGGTTGTCGTGACGCGACTCAAATATATGAATATAACCATGAAGGCCAATAGGCCTTAATGATTTAAGTGACATGTTTAAAAATTATGTACCATAAATTAACAAAAAATATATATTTCGTCCAAGGCATTTACAAATAATTCATTTGATTGAAATCATAATTAAAATTACCAAAAAAAGGTAGTAGCAGCAAATAGTGAAAAACAGAATCCCTAAAGAAAGCCCAACACGGCAAAATTGTAAAATGTTGCAGGCAACACATTTTTCTCCATGATTCATATAATGGTCTCATTGGCCTCCCATGCACTAAAATAATCTATACCTCAAAAGTGAGTTATGTATATATAAAGTATCATTCAGTGAATTATTGAATTCATAATCTGTAGGTCACCATTTGACAAATTATTAACTTTTTACGGACATGAATCGAAATCTATTAGCTAACATTTTTTTATCTGAGTATTTTTCTCAAATTAATATGTAAAAACAAAAAATATATATACCTCGGTAAATCGTTATTTAATTTAAGTAATATTAAAAACGAAAAGCTGACTGCTAAAACAAATTAATAAAGGGTCCGTTACCCTTAAAATTGTGATGATGTCTCCCCGCAGGAAACTATTTTTTACCAGATTCGAACCACATGGCCATTGTCATTGATTCACATGCTAACAAATCAACCTATCACGGATTTTAATCTTGCCCTTAAAGATTTTGTTTGGATTTATTTTATACAAAAGATTCGCCTTAAAATACGAAATATTTTCAAAACATAGCTCGATACAAAATACAAGCAGAATTTAGCCGGCTTCTAAACCAAAATACGTTCATTTCCTTGGCCTTAGAAGAATAAAATTTCAAAGTTTAATAGTTATTATGGTATTAGTCAGTTTTCAAATTGATTGTAATTTAGTCGGCAGGTCATATTGAGATGCTCGACCATCCTACATTAGTACTAAGATATCTTATATTGTTCAAGCGAAGAATTGACAACAACCACACAATCGACCAAACTTGTTTAATCTAGATCTTCATCAATCCATGATGTTATCATAAATTATAAGTAACCAAGTAATAGATGCAAAAAGATTAGTGGTTAAAACTCTTAAACGGTTAGATCTTGGAAATAACAGTAAAGAATAGAAACAATTGAGGAAATTGAGGGTCACTAACAAGAAAAAGGCAAACCTATATACGTACTTTATTTAATTGAAAACAATGATAAATTTTGTAGTTTCTCTTCCTTATGACATGTTCATTGTTAATAAATTTTCCTCGACATTGTATTTTCAAACGACATCCTCATTGATATTCAGAACGATGTCAAGAATAAGATGGTCAAGATTAAGTAATTGTTTTTCCAGTCTTGATAAGATTTTATTTATGAAGCGAAACAATTATCTTAATTCGGAAGATAAACTGTTACTATTTTAACAAATCTGTTATCAGTGTATATCTGCCCCCTTCCCACCCACACAGTTTATGGTTCAACCAGAACAGAACAATTTCGTTGTATGCATAGTACAAAATATAGACATATACAAACAGAATAAATATACAAACAATGCTCAGTATAAATATTCACATACAAATTATACATATGGCTACATATTAAATCGTTGTTGTGTTTTAACGAGTATCAAAGATTTTATGTAAACAATTTTACATTAAAAATCAAACGATTTGAACAACCATTTTTAATGTGTGGCTTTAAACCTTGTCTTTATATTGTGCAAACCATTAAGGCCTGTATCAAGATATAAATAAATTTTATTGTCAAGTACGTATGAACATGAATGTCACAGATTGAAATTATATGTTAATGGCAGTTGTTGCTTTCAAAGTTCCTGTTAAACAATTTTTTACGGTTTTTTTTTCTCACAAATATGATGCTTAAGTTAAGATTTATCAATATTGTAAGTTCCAATAAGCATTATTTATAAAGATATTACCGAATTTAACATTTCATGTAAATAAATGGAGGTAATTAGAAATTTATTTTCTATAAATATAAGAAATAAATGCATATAATTTATTGATTACATATAATGTGCACAAAAATTTGCAGTACATATTTTACATATTCTTCGATGTTTGAAAATTGTTTTATTTGCAAAATTATATACATATATAATTTCTTGTAAGTGTGGTATACACACAGTAATAATATCAATCACAAAACATACAGGATCTTTAAAAACATCGTGCACGCGCGTTTTTAATCCGTTTCGTTTAGTTTTTATTGTGTATGTTTAACTTCGTGTATTGAATCGGCGAAACTCGTCAATTTCCGTCGCTGGTGTACTTTGTCGAGCTCAATCACGACAAAATCTTGAACACTGGTCGCTCGTTCTGTGTTGTACTTTTCAAATTGTTTTTATTCTTTTATATTATAATTTTTTCTGTGTAAGAAAGATATTCAGTGTGTAAGAAAGATATTCTTTACTTCTGCGCACTGTTTGCTTTTTCTGACCCGCTCACTCTTTACAGTCCCCTCTTACGAGTCAGACGTTAAGTTAATTCATTTACTATTATTTAGATCTACGTTTATTTAATTTCAATTTATATTTTAATATTCCATAAGTAAATATCTTCATACAGACGCTGTGGTGAGAACTAATATTAAAATTAGGATATTGATTGTATTTCTTATTTACGTATTTTTGTATTTCTTATTTCATTTTATTTTGGGTTTTTATATGTAATGTATTGTATATGATGTATAATTAATTTATTATATTTTAAGATCATTTTTATTTGGATTAAAATATCGAACCTATGTCAAGAGTTTGTTTCTTTCCTGTAATATTTATTATTTAACCCGTAACCTGTTATTGTCAAGTACGTTTGAAAATGTCTTTAAAAATGAAGGGTGCTCTATGAAATATTCTTAGATAAAATCACAATGAAGATTTGTCCAACAAAAAGTAAAATATGTGACGTTTAACGGGTGTATTTCTAAATTATTAAAATCTAAGTGTTAAGAAAAAAGAGGAAGTTTAAATATGTGAAGTTTAAGAATATATAAGTCAGTTTCAATTTCATTAGTATGAAATGAGATAATCATCATGCGGTTATCTATTTTACAGGAAATAACAATGACTGTTATTTAACAGGAAGGTTTTAGGTTAATCATAAAACATAAGAAAATTCAATCAATGATTGTCTTAGTCCGGTAAAAATCTTGTCATAGTTCACACTAAGCTACTGTTTAAAGAGCATAATCTAATTCTTGATTTGGATAAATGACCGGTGAGTAGATTTTGTTTATATACAGATTTTTTTAGTTCGATTGTGTAGGAAGCTATAAGCTTATAGACTATTTTTCAAATCCGTTCCTGGAACCAACCAGTCGTGAGCAATTAGTGTAAACTTTCTTGCTCAAGGAAACAACAGCGACTTGCCCCTGACGGGGTTTGAACCTATGCGTGTAGCTATCATAAGATTACTAGTCCGCCGCGTTAACCACTCGGCCATGTCGCCACTTTAGTAGATTTAGTTTGTCAGGATAGACTAGCATTTGTTAGTTCACATGTTGTTGTTGAACTTTGTTTTAATTACATCAAATAGGTTGTCTTTTTAACACTTCATGGAAAAAATATGTTGCCATTTATGCAAAAGTATGTTATGAAGGAGATTGAAAACACTACGACTAGAATTGCCGCTTCCACATTACATAAAACTATTCTCGTTTTATTAAATATCTGTTCATGTATTTAATTAATTTAATTAATTGTTAATTTTCCCCGTCGTGAACACCGTCAATTGATAATTTTAGCTTGCAAAGTTCAGGATCGAACTCGTCCTTTCTAAATTTGCAGTAAGTGTTGCCGCACGCATTTGATATATTAATTAGGGTTTGTCAGGTGTTACATAATACTATAAGATAAGTTTTTCCTGACATACTCTCCAATCGAGAGAAAACGGACAAATCCATCCATTTTAAGTAACAGGGAGAATAGAATATCTACCTAGTTCTCTCCAGCACACCCCCCCCCAACATCGCTCGTACGGGTGAACAAAATTCATACAATTAGTCAGAAGCCAATTCATCAAAAATACCATATCTAATATGAAACAACAGTTCAACATGTTCCTTGTTAAAGGTGTGTTTTACAACGAACAAATAAAATCATATATCAGGATAGTGACCTATATTCAATGTAGTTAAGCGAGTGAAGGTATGTAAAATACATTTAGGAAGTGAAATTAACACTCATCAATGAAACGTATAAAATGTCACCGAGTTGTACCAAACTACTACCTTATATTTTGGATTTATAAAAATAAATCAAAGTAAGTGAAATTAATCATTTTGTTTTTGAAATGCAATTACTCAAAATGAAAACTTGACTCTTTACCCAAAATGAAAACTTGACTCTTTTTCCATGTGAACATATGTTTAATCGGTATGGTTATAAATACAACCTCGGTTAAACATTTAAACTGTAATCAAATCTATATCGATCTTTATTTCTTACCTGTAACATAATGCGATCTTTATATCTTACCTGTCAGATGATTTATTATCATTTAAACACAGTTTATTTGTTAAGTGTCAATAATTTTTATATCAAACATGTTTGATGTTGTTTAATAAAAAAATACACAATATTCGGCATACTTAAATATATTTCCAAATTGTTATACCTGAATACATGTTAAAACACAGGCTAAATAAGAAATGTCCATGCATTTGGCAAAGGGCTAGTTAAATCGTCGTAACATCTGACCACACTATTCAATAAAATGTTTGCCTTATTATTGCATAGTGATACCTTGTAATATAGAGTAAACAGTTTCGTTTTCAAAGTATACAAGTGGGGATGGGTAGAGGATAAAATAACAAAACATTTTATAACATTACAGCCGTTTCGTCCACTTGTTTTCGTATGAAATATAATGGCATGTATTATTAACAAATCCAATAAAATGTTAATGACAAAAAAAAATGACCTAGCACTTATATAATATATACACAAAAGCAACATTTTGCAACCATTTAACATGGGATATGAGGAACAATTATATTCATAAGTGGATATAATTTGTCTATCCATTACATCTTATTAGACCGGAAATGGTGCTTAATTACAATTAAGTATAAAGTATATATCCACTCATCGATCAAGGATGTTGTTATTACCCTACAGGGATGTTAATTAGTTCTTCAAACACAACTATTGACCTTTTAAAGCTTATTAACAAAGGATGAAATTTCAGAACAACACTAGATATTTTACGAACATATACACCATTTGTCTGTCATATTAATTATATCTCAACAGGAAGTATGTTATAAGAGGACCGTTTATCATAAGGAAGAATAAAATAATTTTCTGCGACTAGGTGGTTTTTCAATTAAGTCATTCGCTTGCTACTGCATGCTCAGAAAAATCTTTTAAGCATTAGATACGTTATCTTTAACGGTAGGCAGTACGTTATTTTTTGTACTTGAACCGCTTTAATTTCATACCTGAAACATGATTCATATAAAAATCAGATATTCTTATATCTGTGTGTTCGTATGCGAACCAAAAACTTAAATAAATATTGATCTTGTTTCAACAATATCAAAGATCTTCTCAACGTTATTTACTAGAAATGAAGGTTATTTACTAGAAATGAAGAAGCAATATTTTGCTAGTAATATGCAATTTGTATTTTGTTACAAAAGTATTTGTTACAAAAACAGATAGCTTTTGTTTTCTGTTTTAGCTACTTAATGGTCTGAGCAAGAAATCTAGATAAACATGGCTTCACATGACAGGGGACCGACTAAAAACATTTATGATTTTCCACGATCTCAACCAATCCCAACCATTCCTATTACACCTGAGTCCACCGAAACAGTTTCATCAACGCTTCATGTAAATTTGGAGCCGACTAAAAACATTTATGATATTCCACGATCACAACCGATCCCAACCATTCCTATTTCACCTGAGTCCACCGAAACAGTTTCACCAACGCTTCATGTAAATTTGGAGCCGACTAAAAACATTTATGATGTTCCACGATCACAACCGACCCCAACCATTTCTACTACAACAGCATCCACCGAAACTGTTTCATCAACTATTCATGAAAATTTGGAGCCGCCGAAATCTTCCGATGATCGGCCAACATTTCAGAAAGCAGTACATGATGAAAGTTTTGATACATCAAACACAAAAGCAACCGACGATGATTTTAAATCACCGGTGACGAAAACCGATGAGCCTCTCGTTACAAGTGAGCAACCCACTACTCACAAGGATACTGACAATAAAACTGAAGATTGTCTAGAAAATTCTAAGTGTCAGTCCGATAAAAGCCCAGACTGTCTCCCAATGAATGGTGCAATGAAGTTAATGTCAGACATATCACCGATGGATTCCGAGCAGAACTCTAAAGGCAAGTCATAAATAATAATAAACTTTATGTTATGGCTCATTTACAAATCAACATATGCAAGTCACAAAAATCTAGTGCAATAACTTATCTACATTTTTCGGTTTAACATATTCTGTGAATTCACATGCATATATATATAATGTCAGTATGTTATTACTTTGTAAGGAAAACAGCTTTTAAAAATAAATCAATTTGCAAGACAATTGAACTTATTTAAGATGAAAGCTACTAATACAGTGAAAATTTGGTTTTGAATTTCTATTTAAGATCATGATTATGAGGCCATAGATGAAGACGCATTGGATACGAATCCAACGCGATCGACTTATCCACCACCAACGATTCCGATGTCACCTCGGCCTAACAGAGCAAGGTCGACATCATCCCTCAAACCAGTGCGGATAGTAGACGTAGCAAACACTTACATGGATCTATCAACCCTAACAACGGATGAAAACAGACAGATACTATTAACAGGAATCAGAAAAACCATTTCCATAAAAGAAATCGAAACCATACTGAAATCGGATTTACTTAAAAGAAATGATGACCTTGAAGATATCAAGGTCGACAGAGTTCACGGAGAAGCCGTTGTTATGTTGAAAAACGGAAGAGGTAAGTTTTAGGTTTTTCATTAAGTATATTAAAAAGGAATAAAGTACGAAAATTCCTTCTTACAGCGCCATAACATACGCTTCAGCCACATATGCTCGGGACTTGCGTGCTCGCAATGAAACAGATGATTTTCGTTGCAAACCATTGTGTCATTTGTAGCACAAAATAATTGAAATGTATCAAAAATTAAAAATGAAATGAGCCGCGTCACGACAAAACCAACACAATGATTTTGCGACCAGCATGGATCCAAACCAGCCTTCGCATACGCGCAGTCTGATCAGGATCCATTATGTTCGCTTACAAACCTATTAAAAGTAGAAAAACTGATAGCGAACAGCATGGATCCTGATCAGACCATGCGGATGCGCAGGCTGGTCTGGATCAATACTGGTCGCAAATCCATTATGTTGGTTTTGCCGTGACACGGCTCATATGTGAAATTTATATGCATGACAAACACACGAAGTACCCGTACATTGAAGACAAAACTGGAGCTGCTTGGATTTGAACACGCATCAGTATGGTTGAATAATCAAGGCGCACCCAATATACTACAACTTCTTTCTAAAAAGACTATGGTCAATATTATAGTATTACTATACAACCCATACACACATGACTTATTTTTTTTTGAAGTGAACTCATCCATGTCATATTTACAAAGGTTGCGATATAACTAATATTCACCAGTATCTATTGTGACCGGTAGTGCACCGTGAAGCTATAACGTTAAAAGTTTGTTTATACCCGGGGATTAGCTTGGAAAACCATTGATTTGCCGAGTTCCGGATATTATCTATTGATTTAACGTTTTCCACACTTACATAAGTGGCAAATAAAGATAAATACTATTTAATTTAAGCGGAAAGTATTTTTGCTTTGAAATAATATTTCATGTTCAGTAAGACGATAATTGTCCAATTCAAACTTTGTTACCATTAGCTGCTAGCGATGTCTTGGATAAAGCAAAACCTGAAGGGAAAGTAACATTGCAAGATACAGAGGTCTATGTATCGCCATTGAACCAGGCTCCAATTGATCCACGTAAGATGTTTGTATTTGATTTTGACAAATCATTTGAAGATATGATTCTATACGATGATGCAACACTTGGAACACGGCCCACAAAAGAAATTAGAGGAGAAAATAGGACAGCTGTTTTGTTATGCTTTGATATTGATGTTTCTCAAGGTATAATTTTTTGTTGTTATAATCAAATTTGAGCCGTGCCATGACAAAACCAACATAGTGCGTTTGTGATCAACATGGAGCCAGACCAGCCTGCGCGTTTACGCAGTCTGATCAGAATCCATGCTGTTCGCTTACAAACCCTTTTACAAGTAGAGAAACTGATTGCAAACAGCATGGATCCTGATCAGACTGCGCGGATGCGCAGACTGGCTTGGATCCATGATGGTCGCAAACGCACTGTATTGGTTTTGTCATTGCGCAGCTTATTTAATGAGTACTAAAAACTTTTTTTTTTTAAATACTATGACATATTTTTATGCTGATATTGTGACTCATTTAAATCAAAGTTTATATTTTATCAAGTAAATGATATAATCATTATTGTCGTTTTATACACGTATTTGCTTTCTTTCCAAATTAGGTTGTTTCGTCTGTAATAAAACATATTTTATTAACTATTTGCAAGATCATATTCTTATAATTAACATGTATTCTCAATGAATTTTAAAATTAACACGTATTCTCAATGAATTGGTCAACTTGAATTGTAAAAAATGTTAAAACAAATAATTTTTGAGCCTCGTTTTTCAAGCATGTAATACTTTGTTTATATATGAATGTTATCATTAATAACTATTGTTTCAATCAAGGAGAAGATTTTCTAAAAAAAAGCGTCTAGCTTTCTTCTCAATTCTTTTTGCATTTTATTGTAATATATTGTGTATATACTGTATATTTGGCTAACATAAAATATTTTTTTAACCAAACTTAATTCAAGATGGCATCAAACAAGGTATTCGTGAAAGCTTAACTACAAACAATATACATAAAAACAAATTCATTTTTACTAATTTTGAATTTTTTAACACATTTCGGTGAAGAAATAAAAATAATTTGTACAAATTATTGAAATATCGTGACAAACGTCACGTAAACTTTATGTTATATCTGTTTACATGAATGACTATTCATATTCAAGTTATATCAATTATGTAAGGAAAACTATATATTGGATAAGATAAATAAACATCTCTTAATTCAAAATATTAGCACAACATGCGTGATTACTTTTATAAAAGAATCCGATATATAAATATAAATCCTAAACTCAAATAATATTTAAATGCCCATTAAAAAATCTAAAATGTATAGGAATAGCAAATTAGACTTATACATGAAATTGGATAGATTTACGTGGCACACTATACATTAAAACTATAATTGCGTCCTTGATCAGTGGTAATTTTATTAAAACTGAATCGAGTCATTGAATATAGTTTCATATTTATTAGGTGAATTTGATTTTTACCAAATATTCAACATGCTGACCTCTTACATATGAATTCCTAAAAACTATTTACAATCTTTTGTATTAGAAGATATTCAAATAAAAACGGCAATTTCAAAGATACGGTATCTAACAGTACTTTCTTGCTAATAAAAGTTTTGTGAACAAAATATCGTTTAAATCGAGGATAAATCTTTTATAACAAACCGTTGCTAACTGTAAAGCTTCACCACGTAAGATATATATTTATTTTAAGTGGTTACATTGATAGTAGAATCTAATTAAAGATGTGGTTTATATTTTCAATTACCAAAAAATATATCAATTATCACAAAGCAATCTTTTATTTTATTCTTATTTATAAAATGAAGTTCGTTTACTTGCACATGTCACGGAACCGAGATATACAGTTCATATATTTAACCATTTTAAGGTCAATTAGCGTTCATTCAATAGAAATGAAGCATCATTCTTTCTAATATTACTATACAAAAAGACATTTTCAAAAACTGATAATTTGGTTCTACCTTTTACCTTTTTATCATAAACTACCTTTGTAAAAGTTGCTATGTAAATTTCATGAATATTTTGGCATCAATATGAAAAATGTATCTAGTTTTCCAGCATTATGTTTCAACTTCAAAGCGATACCTTGTATAACAGTTAAAGACGTTCACGTTTGCTGGACATTGATGTATTAATCATTAGAAGAATGTTCCTTTCTATATTCCACTCTTTATTTTACGTTCAGATGGTCTGTTCTACTTCCACTTCTTCACAACTAGAAATTTGTTCTAAATTTTTCAATTGTCAAACAAATTGTCACAAATGAACTTAAATCATTAATTTGAACCTACGTTTAGAATGAAAATTACCAAATAAAATCTGCGACATGGTCTTGGTCAGTTCATTGAGAATGTGTTTAATTCAAGCATAACTTTATCGTCTATTTCCACTATTAACTTCAAATAGGATTTGAAGCTCGATACATTCTTACATATAAAGTGTGATCTGATTAAATGTGCATTTACATTTTACATTTACTACATTTGAATACTCTTAGATCAGACATTTCAACATCTACTTACCGCCTATAAATGGAATATGTTGCCTGTGGAACGTACAAATAGAGTTCGAATTAAAGGCGTTTCTATGGAAACAACACCTGAGGACGTGAAAGACTATTTCAATAAAAAGCTTTCAAATGATGAAAGCATAACATCTATGGAATATAGAGAACACTTGGGGGACTATATCATCACGTTTTCTACAATAAATGGTAAAATTTATGTCTTTCTAATTAGATACAATTTGATAAAGTGAAAAAAAGAACAAACCAAATATTTATAGAGAAAAGGAATGTTTGTCAACAAAATAGTTTTTTAATGCCCGGGTTGGGACGTCCTTTTAGAAATTTTGGAAGGGGAAAAAATTTTAAAAAAGTAAAAAAAAAGAATTTAAAACCCCAAACCGTGCCCGGGCGGGGTTTTAAATTTTTGTTGATTTCGAATCATTTGCCCCTCAACGCTGTGAATTCGGATCCCCCCAAAGGGCTTTGAACCCCTTAATTTAAAGTATAATTAGAGCGTTGTGGTTTATTCAGGAAACCGCTCGTTTTCCTCCTTAAATAAAAAATTTTGTATAAAAAAATTTGAATCCCTTTAAAGAAGCAATTCAAAAATTTTCCCTGGAAAGTAAATTTTTTATTGTTTTTTTTTTTTTTTCCCTTTACTTTTTATCTTTTTTATTCTTGTTTTTTTTTTTTTCTTTTTAAATTATGAAATTTTAAGTTTAAGTTTTTTAAAGATTTTTGACAAAGAAATATATTAAAAAGGAGTGTGTATAAAAATATATCCCATTTGAGTTTTTGGGTTTTTGAATCACTAAATTTTCCTAGCTTTAAAAATACTTTGGTAGTGAAAATAAAGGGTCTTTTTTATACGGGAATTTTTTTAAAAAGTAAAAGGGGAACTTTAACTTTTTTTTTGTGTTGTTTCTTTTTTTACAAAGGGGTTCAGTAATCATGAATATGTGATTCTGACTTCTATATTTTAGTCTTGATTTCATCAACTCAAAGGAATCTCATTTCGTTTTATATACACCTTCTGTTATAAACCGTTTACATATATATTTTGATACAATAGTCAAAAGCATGCATATTTACAGATGCAGAGAGAGTGGAAAACCAAGAGATTAACTCTATAAATGGAAAATAAATTGAAATAGCTTATTACTATCCTTATCTAGAAGATGAGGATGCATATATATTTAATATTCCACAACCAAAGAAAATGCGGTACGTTGACAGAGATATTTGCGGGTATGTATAGATTTTATTTCTTTTAATAGAAAGTTACGTAATTGAGATTGATGAATTTGCTCGGATGGTGAGGGATTCAGGATAAGAAGAGTTCATATTATCATTGTTGTCTGAAAATTAAAATAAAGGATTTTGGGTTTCTTTTGAAACCATCATTCCCAAAACCGGGGTTTTCAAAAAAGAACTTTTTAAAAAACCCTTTTCAGCATAATTTTTTTAAAAGTGAAAACAAAACAAAAACGGGTTTGAAAAAAAAAAAAAAGGAAAATTTTTTTTTTTCATTATTTTTTTCCCCTGTTCCTTGCAAATTGTTAAAAAACCCGGTATTTTAAACCCGGGAAAAAAAACATAATTTTAACCAATACTTTAACATTTTTTTTTAAAAAGAAAAATTGTTCTTTTTTAAAACTAATTATTTTTTTAAAAATTGTAAACAAATCATGAAAATTTAAAGTTTATTTTTGATTTTTATAAAAGCTAATTTAAATTTTTTAAAATCCTTTTAAATCGTTTGATTTTTAATGGTTTTTTTATTTTTCAAAAAAAAAAAATTTAAAAATGCCAAAAAAATTTAAAAAAACCCTTAAAAAAAAAATAAAATTTTTAATTTGTAATTTCCCCAAATTTGAAAAAAGAGAAATGAATGAAATATTTTTTAAAAGTTTACATAAAATGTGGAAAAAATATTTGCTGTAATCTTTTTACATATTTTTTGATTTTTAAAAATTTTTTTAAAAAGTAAAATTAAATAGTTACATATATAATATCTCAATAAGTGGGGGGTAAAAACCCTTAAATTAAAACCATACGGGATTTTTAAGGGTCAATTAAAAAAACCTGAAGATTTTGGGGGCTGTAAATGTCTGGACTAATTTGAGGATTTTTTTTATTATAATAACCATAAGACCCTGACTAGTATTACATGAAAAAGAAACTACCCAATCGCAAAACCCCACTCAAAATAATGTCAAAAAAATTGGGCTACTGTTACTAGTTTAACATCCCGTTTATTTAGGTATCTACAAACATCCGCTAAATACAAAAAAGAGTTAGAAGAAAGTGTAGCGTCCCATCATGGAAAAGTTCGTTGGCCTAGTAATGAAGGAGCATATATGGAGGTGATGTGCAATGTGGATGAACGAGACAGAAAGGCAAAGATAAAAGTTGAAGACTGGGAAGAACATGCGGCCTCGGCAAAAGGAAAAAGGGGGGGGGGGGAAAAAAAAATTTTAAAAAAAAATTTTTTTTAAAAAAAAAAAAAAAAATTTTTTTTTAAAAAAAAAAAAAAAAAAAAAAAAAAAAAAATTTTTTTTGTTCCCAAAAAAAAAAAAAAAAAAAGATAAAAAAAAACAAAAAATGGTTTTTTAAAAATTTTTTTTAAAAAAAAATTTTTTAAAATTTTAAAATTTTTTTTGGGGAAAAAAAGGGGGGGTTTTTTGGGGGGGGTTTTTAAAAAAAAATTTTTTTTTTTTCCCCTTTCCCAAAAAATTTTCCCCCAAAAACCGGGGGTTTCCCCAAGGTTTTTTGGGGGAAAAAAGGGGTTTTTTAAAAAAAAAGAAACAAAATTTAGGGAAAAAAAAACCCCTTTTTTTTTTCCCTTTTTTTTTAAAATTTTTTATTTTTTTTTGGGGGGAAAAACCCCTGGGGGAAAAAAAAACCCAAATTTTTTCCCAAAAAAAAAAAAACCTTTAAAAAAAAAAATTTTCCCCCCTTTAAAAAAATTTTTAAAAAATTTTAAAAAGGGTTTTTTTGGGGGAAATTTTTTTAAAAAAAAAACCCCCCCCGGGGGGGGAAAATTTTTTTTTGGGGGCCAAACCTTTTTTTTTTTCCCCCCAAAAATTTTTTTTTTAAAATTTTTTTTAAAAAGGGGGTTTTTTTAAAAAAAATTAAAAATTTTTTTTAAAACCCCAAAAAAAAAATTTTTTTTTTTTTTTTTTTTTTTAAAAAAAAATTTTTAAAAAAAAAAATTTTTAAAAAAGGGAAAATTTTTTAAAAAAAAATTTTTTTTAAATTTTTTTTCCCCTTTTTTTTTTTTTTTTTTTTTTTTTATTTTTTTTTTTTTTTTAAAAAATTTTTTAAATAAAATTTTTAAAATTTTTAAAAAAAAAAAAAAATTTTTGGAAAAAAAAAAATTTTTTTTTTTTTTAAAAAAAAAAATTTTAAAAAAGGGGAAAAATTTTTTTTTTTAAAAAAAAAAATTTTTAAATTTCCCCGGGGGGGTTTTTGGGGGGTTTTTTGGGTTTTTTTTGTTTAAAAATTTTTTGGGGGGGGAAAAAAAAATTTTTAATTTTTTTAAAAAAAAAAAAACCTTTTTAAAAAATTTTTGGGTTTTGTTTTAAAAAATTTTTAAAAAAAAATTTTTTAAAAAAAAAATTTTTTTTTGGAAAAAAAATTTTTTTTTTAAAAAATTTTTAAAAAAATTTTTTTCCCCCAAAAAATTTTTTGGGAAAATTTTTGGGAAAAAATAAATTTTTTTTTTTTATAATTTTTTTTTAAAATGATTGGGGTTTTTAAAAAGGTTTTAAAAATTTTGGGTTTTTAATTTTTAATTTTTTTTTAAAAAAAAGGTTTTAACAAAAAATTTTTTTTAAAAAGGGGGGTTTTAAAAAAAAATTTTTTTTTTTTTAAAAAAAAATTTTAAAAAAACCAAAAAAAAAATTTAAAAAAACCCTTTTCAATTTTTTTTTTTTTAATTTTTTTGTAAAAAACCCAAAAAAAATTTTTCCCCAAAAAAGGTTTAAAAAAAATTTTTTAAAAAAAAAAAAATTTTTTAAAAAACCCTTTTTTTGGGGAAAAAGGGGCCCCCAAAAAAAAAAATTTTTTGGTTTTAAAAATTTTTAAAAGGAAATTTTTTTCCTTTAAAACCCCTTTAAAAAAATTTTTTTTTAATTTGGGGTTTTTTTTTTGGGGAAAAAAAATTTTTTTTAAAAAAAAAATTTTTTTTTTTAAAATTTTTAAAAAAATTTCCCTTTTTTTTCCCCCCCCCCCAAAAATTTTAAAAACAAAAAAAAATTTCCAAAAGGGGGGTTTTTTTTAAAAAAGAAAAAAAAATTTTTTTTTTTAAAAAAATTTTTTTTTTTTTTGGAAAAAAAATAAAAAATTTTAAAAAAAAAAAAAAAATTTTTTTAAAATTTTAAATTTTAAAAATTTTAATTGAAAAATTAAAAAATTTAACCGGGAAAAAAAAACCCCCCGGGGGAAAATTTTTTTTTTAAAAATAAATTTTTTAAAAAACCCCAAAATTTTAAAAAAAAATTTTTTTTTTTTTTTAAACCCCAAATTTAAAAAAATTTTTTTTTTTTTTAAAAAAACCTTAATTTTTTTTTTTAAAAAGGGAAAATTTTAAAAAATTTAAAAAAAAAAAAAAAATTTTAAACTTTTTGAAAGGGGGGTTTTAAAAAAAAGGGCCCCCCTTTTCCCTTGGGTTTTTTAAAAAAAATTTTTAAAAATTTTTTTAAATTTTTTTTAAAAAACCCAATTTTTAATTTTTTTTTTAAAAACCTTTTTTCCCCTTTTTTTTTAAAAAAAATTTAAAAAAAAAAAAAACTTCCCCCCCTTTTAAAAAAGGGGAAATTTAAAAAAATTTTTTTTTTTGGGGGGGGCAAGGGTTTTAAAAAAAAACCCCCCTTTTTTTTAAAAAAAAAAAGGGGAAAAATTTTTTTTAAAAAAAATTAGGGAAAAAATTTTTTAAAAAAAAAAACCAAAAAAAAATTTTTTAAAAAAATTTTTTTTTTTTTTTAATTTAAAAAAAAAAATTTTAAAAAAAAATTTTTTTGAATTTAAATTTTTAAAAAAAAAAAATTTTTTTTTTAAAAAAAAAAATTTTTTTTTTAAAAAAATTTTTTTCCCCCAAAAAAAAAAAAAAACCCCCCCCTTTTTTAAAAAAAAAAAAATTTTTTCCCCTTTTTTTTTTTTTTTTTTAAAAAAAATTTTAAAAAAATTTTTTTTTAAAAAAAATTTTAATTTTTTTTAAAAAAATTTTTTTAAAAAAATTTAAAAAATTTTTTCCGTTTTAATTTAAAAATTTTAAAAATTTTTTTTTTTTTTTAAAAAAAAATAAAAATTTTTTTTTTAAAAATTTTTTTTTTCCTTTTTTAAAATTTTTAAAAAAAATTGGGGGGGGTTTTTTTTTTCCTTTTGGGTTTTTCTTTTTAAAAACCCCTTTTTTTTTTTTTTCCCCCCAAAAAAAAATTTTTTTTTAAATTTTTTTTTTAAAATTTTTTTTTTAAAAAATTTTTAAAAAGGGGGAAAAAAAAATTTTTTAAAAAAAATTTTGGGTGGGGGGTTTTTTAAAAAGGTTCCCAAAAAGAAAAAAGGGGGGAAAAAAAATTTTTTTTCCTTTTTTTTTTTTTTCCCCCCTTTCTTTTTAAAAGGGGAAAAAAAAATTACCGGGGTTTTAAAAAAAAAATTTTTTTAAATTAAAATTTTTTTTAAAAAAATTTTAAAAAGGGGGGGCATTTGCAAAGGAAATTTTTTTAAAAAAAACCCCCCGGTTTTTTTCCCGGGAAAAAAATTTTTTTTTTTTTTCCCCTTTTTTTTAAAAAAAATTTTTTTTTTTTTAAGGGAAAAAAATTTTAAAGTAAAAAAAAAAATTTAAAAATTTTTTTTCCCCGGGGTTAAAAAAGGGGAAACCCCCCCAAAATTTTAAAAAAAAAGGTTTTTTAAAAAAAAAAAATTTTTGGTTTTTTTTTTTTTAAAAAAATTTTTTTCCCAAAACAATTTTTTAAAAAAAAAAATTTTTTTAAAAAAGGGCCCCCCCTTTTTTTTTTTCCCCCCCCAAGGCCGGGGGGGGAAAAAAATTTTCTTTTTTAAATTTTTCCCCCTTTTTTTAAAATTAAAAAACCCCCCCCTTCCCCCGCTTCCTTTTTTTTTTTCCCCCCAAAAATTAAAAAAGGGAAAAAAAAAAAATTTTTAAAAAAAAAACCCCCCCGTTTTTTTTTTAAAAATTTTTTTTTTTAAAAAATTTCCCAAAAATTTTTTTTTTTGGTTTTTTTTTTTTTTTAAAATTTAAAAAATTTTTTTTTTTTAAAAAAAAATTTAAAATTTTTTCCCCCCCCAAATTTTGGGCCCCCCCCCCCCCCCCCCAAAAAAAAAAAAAAAAAAAAATTTTTTTTTTTACAAAAAAAAAAAAAAACCCCCCCAAAAACCCCCAAAAAAAACCCCCAAAAACCCAAACCCCAAAAAAAAAAAAAAACCCCCCGAAAATTTTTAAAAAAAAAATTTTTTTAAGGGGGGCACATTACAGACCGATTGTGGAAGAAAACATCTCGAAAAGCTAGTTGATGAGTATGATGGCAGACTTATCTATCAGATACAAGGAGACGACTTATATATTGTTTCAGTGGACTATTTGCATCAGGAGATCATTAAAAAAGTGAAAACCTTCCTAGATTCACATTCTTACCTCGAAGAAACGGTTCTTTTTGACAGTGGTGTATTCCTCTACCTGTTTAACAATAAAAAGAGGGATGTTCAACAAGTTATCAAGCAATTCAAGGACTTGAATGTCGAAATAGATATAGTTGATAGAGAAACAAGAAAGGGGTTTACGGTAAAGGGAGATAAACAGGTATGCAAGATTGCCTTAGCACAGCTTAATAGCATCAAAGATAATGTCATAAGGACAGATATGAATGTCAGTGACGAATTCTTTCACAAATTCCTTCAACGTCCGGAGGGCATGGAAAAAATGAAAAATATTCAGTTGGCAGAAAAATGCATTATTCAAATACCAATGGCAATACCAGAGAGAGGTAGTCGACAACGATCGGAAAATATACTTGCAAAATCTAAATTTGGACATTGCGACCTACAAATTAAAGGCGGCGACATTACTGATCAAATTGTTGATTTTATTGTTAACCCAACAGATAGAATGTTGGAGCATAAACGGGGTTTAGGAAGAACATTAGTTGATAAAGGTCTGAATATTTTGTTTATAATAATATGTTTTAAAAAAGGCATTAATTAAGCATTCAAATTAATTCTAGATTTTTTTGTTTTGATGTTCGGTACGATTTAGCGATTTCGGTGCTTTAATGTAATTGCAGGATTAACAACATACGATCGTTCATTGAAAATTATTGATATGACTATGTTTTTATTATTTTGCCAAAGCAAATGTATGTCGTTACGTTTTTGATTTTTCTTTTGCATTTACAAAATTTGAAATAAAAACTATATATATTTAAACAAGACAAAGCAGTGCCTTTCTTAACAAAAATATATATAAGACAGATGATGTATTACTAACATGTGACAATAGAAACATACGGGAATAACATTTGGTTGTAAACGGTTAAGTTATGGTTTTAACTGTAAGTATTTTGTGATAACTATTTTTGTTTTGCTTTTTTCTAAGGCGGGTTTCTTGTTTCAAAGTCATGTGAGGAAAAAAAGCGGTGCATTAAAGAGTTTGATGCTTTCGTTGGGAGTGCAGGTGACCTTCCATATCGTGGTATAATACATGTGGTCATACCTACCTATTCAGTTGAACGTAATGATAGAAAACAGGAGGATATACATCACGCAGTTAGACAATGTCTTCTTGAAGCAGACAAACAAAATGCAACAAGTATTGCGTTTCCGTTGCTAGGGTCAGGAAGATTTGGATATCCTGATGACATCATTGTTGACAGTATGATGAAAGAAATTAAAAATTATCTGCTTCAAAATGGAACAAGCACATTCTTGAGACGTATCACAGTGTGTGATATAGAATCTGATTTAACGATTCTTCTCCCAGAATCAATAGCTGAGGACTTTTCTCTTCCAGCAGGTAAAATAATATTCAATAACAAACTAAGTTCTCTGTTTTTTTTAATTATTATCCGTTATATTTATAGTCACGAAACAAGGCAATAATGAGACATAAACAAGGCAATAATGAGATAATGATTTTGATTAATATTCACATCATTTATAATAGATAACGTTTTGTTTCTTGTGTATTGTGTTGCTTTTTCAAGTATATATACATATTTTAGACGTTGTTAAGCAAAGAAAGATGTCAAAGGAATGTAGATCTGACCAAACAGACGGTTTTGCAAAACGTATTCGTAGAGATAATATAACCGGATCTATAACATTACAAGATGTACGTTATTTTTTCATCGCTCAGAAATGTCATTAATTTTAATCTACTTTTAAAAGTAAGTTTGCATATTTAAATGTTGAATCTTAATCGGTGCTAGAAGGAATGGGTGGTAGCTTGCACTTACCAGTACCGTCCATGAACAAACTGAATCAAACAAATCGTTTTCTCAAATTTCAATTTTGTCGTTATGGATGTTCTTAGGGATTCTGTTTTTCTCTGTTTTGAAGAGTAAATTGAAGATTATATATAATTGATTACATGTATTAATATTTTAAGGCATTATTAAGTATACTCCGCTATTTTTATATTCCAGTAATATAAAAAATACAACAGATGCACGAAACCATGTATATCGTACTATCTATTTTGTTCTTGATAAAACTGATCCAAAACCATGTTGATTATAAGGCGTCAAAACGTATGACACAATGATATTTACTGGGTACAAAATGGCCAAATGTGTTACAGATTTAGTAAGTTATTTCATTTATGTTACCTTTTTTATTTGTTTCAATATTCAAAGACTGATGTGATTGTTAACTCAACAAACAGTAAATTGGATCTCAATATTGGTAAGCTCTCAGGGATGATAATTAAAGATGGGGGAGAGAAAATTCTTGCAGAATTATCAGAAAAGTATCCGGATGGGATTTCGCCGGGCGAAATAGCTGTAACAACTGGAGGAAACTTGAAATGCAAAGCCATTTTCCATGGCGTTTTAGAAAAATGGGACCATAATCAAGGGCATGCAGAAACGGTAAGAATTGAAGTAGAAAAATTGAAGTTGTCGAAAAAAATAATAGAAGTGTGTTGTCGCTGGGACGACATGTAGTCTATAAGTTTAATCCAAATTACTCAAATCGTTCAATGTATTTGATTAAGTGACTGTTTTGAATAACTGACAGAACTATTCATTTAATGAATGAACATACATTTATTGTCGCGACGAAAGTCTGAGATATTTTGTTCTTAAATCTATCAATTTATAAAAGGAGTTGATCTAAAATACATTTGTACCTTATGAAGAAGGACATGCATGTATATCAATGTTATTAGTTATTCAATTTTGTTAAGAAGATGTTGCACAAAAGGGGTGTAGGGCGCTTTGTGAACAGCAGACGATTGTTGCACATAATGATAGTAACTCCGTTGATATGTATTTCAAGAGATTTATTAAATGACGTGATTCTATTAACCAACTACACAGCTGAAAAAACTGTATAAAACAAGGTGCTAGCCAAGTTAATTATAGTTTTTGCAGCTGTGTTAGATTTGAAAAGATTCGGTTATGCATTTAACAATATTTGTCTTAAAGCTTCTTTGTTTCACATCAATGTTTTGACTTTTCCAGAAAATTGTGTTTCTTCCATTACAATGTAATGCAATAATACATTGCAATGAGTATTGTATTGTTTGGATTCAGCTAGTCTGAGAACAAAATAGAGATTGAGTGGCGGCATGGCCGAGTGGTTAACGCGTCGGACTAGTAATCTAAGGATTGTTGACACCGTGGGTTCAAATCACGTCAGGACAAGCCGTTGTTTCCTTGAGCAAGAAACTTTACATGCATTTCTTTGTACTGGTTGGTTCCAGGAACAGATTCGAGAGTGTTTCAGTAAGCATATAGCTTCAAACACAATCGAACTAAAATAAATTTATATAAACTACCCGGGATTTGAATGGATTATTTTGACTCGAGAAATCATACGAGGTTAATTTATAAGATCTGATCCAATTATAACTAATTATATTGGGAGATCATTTGGTGAAATCGCTAAAAGTTTATAGAAAGAGCCAATTTCTAGTGATTAAACGATATCAAATTGTATTATTATGGATAATTGAATGACACACATGTGGTCATCTGAACAAACAATGATATAAGGTGATATAAAATTCATATTTACAGGTGATGAAATATTTTATCAAAGAATGTCTCTTGAATGCAACGAAGAAGAACTACGAATCTATATCTTTCCCAATCCTAGGAACAGGAGCACTACAGTTTCCTCCAGATTGTGTAGCAAAATTTATGTCAGAAGTTTTAGATGACTTTGAACTTGAACACCCTTCAACGTCGCTAAAGACTGTCCGCATTGTCAAACATCCGAACGAAGAAACTGTAAATATTATGTACCTTATTTTAATCGCATAGTAAAACCTCTTTGATTTCTTTAAATTCTGTCAATATAGTAGTAATATTTCAATATAAAACAATTCATTTGTATGTTAATAATTGTTACACCATTTAAAAGCCATAATTAACTTTTTGATAAATGCACTGATGTTCTTTTTTTCTTTTTTATGGTTATTAATCACATGTTTTTAACTTGATACACGATAGTAATTTATCAGAATGCTTTTGCTGCTGACAAAACAAACTACTATTGCTTTACCATCCTGTTCTGTCCGTTGTAGTTTACACTTGTAAAACAAAAAGAATTTTGTAAAAGAGAACATAGTATACATTTTCGAACAAATCGATTTTGAGTTATTTAAAACTTAAATTATCCAGGTATTTGAGGGAGATAACCCAATTCTTCATAGGATGGATAAACCTTCGATTTCATCCGTCATTTACAAAAGACATAGCAAACGATTAAAAGATGTTTTTACACCTGGAAGCAACAGTAAGTAGTTGTGATGTCGTCTTTTTTACATTCAGAATCATGTGTTTTTATTCAATTTTAATCCTTTCACCGGAGAGGACATTAGGTCTGCCTCTCGTCTGTATGTCCTTTCGTTTGTCCGTTTGCATACACCCAGTTGACATACGATGTTTATGGTCTGTGTACAACATGATATTATGAGGTTCATTCCGTACAAACTGTAATTTTGGGGCAAGAAACTGTTCTCTGGGGTAAAAATGTCATTATGCGGAATAAAAGATCAAAAAAGTTCAAAGGAATAAATCCCCAATGTAGGTCTGGTGAGAATGTATGTTCATTTGCCAGTAAGTCAGTCCATCCATTATAATTTAAATTTCCTTATTTATTCTATAAACTTTTTTTCTTCATTGATGTACTTCCAACTTCAAACATTTGTTCATTACCATCACCTTCATGATATGTTAATATGTATACTATAGGGAGAAATGAAATCCCTAAGGAAATCCAAAACTGGTTTTCATGATTATTTTCATTTTGAACTTTGAAAATTGTTATATAATATTCTTCTTTGTAACTATAAATAGTACGTATTTGAAAATTGATATAATTACATGTATTTTATTATGCCCCCACAAAGTGGGGAGCATATAGCGTTGCACTTGTCCGTCCGTACGTCTGTCCGTCCGTACGTCTGTCTGTACGTCCCGAAATCTTGTGAACGCAACTCCTCTTAAACCGGATGGCAGATTTTGCTTAAACTTCCAAGGATGAACAACCTTAATGTGTAGATGGTAGTAAAGGAAGGAATTTTTGCTGCGACCAAATTTAACAGAATTATGGCCCTTTGTTGATTTTTCACTATATACCATATATATGTTGTCAGTGGGGTCATCCGTGTCCTTTGGACACAGTTCTAGTTTTTCTTCTTTGTTACTATAAATGGTATTTACTTAAGACTTAAGATAATTGTTGCTTGTCATCACTTATATCATTTATGATATAAATATCTTTAAATAGTTGATATTGGAAAATGGTAAGGATAAAGAAACATCTGTCTACAATATGTTAAAAGACTGTCACACTCTTTTTATTAATTGAATAAGTAAATTCCGATGGATATTTACAAAATTTTCATTGAGCAACGTTTGAGTTATTTGTCGATCGTGCAATGTAAATTATAAAATTGAAGGACATTATGGCAAAAAGTAAACTTATTTTGACTTTCATTGTTCACTTACAATATACCCTTGGGAAGGCATAATGTCGCTTGAATTTTTCTTTTTTTTAATGTTACTTTTTACAAGATTGTTTTTATATCATTTTTAAGACATTTCATCACGTGTATTGGTTAAGGAACTTTATGTACATTTATGCAAGTCCAAAATAATATTTTCTCAAATTATGACAACAGTGACAAACGACCTCTGTCATGAATAAAAATGTTTTTAAATATTATAAGCAAATCGGTCAAAAGAAGTACAACTTGACAATTACGCTTTTACCAGAAATTGTTTGATATTTAACAATTCATTAGGGTTCGTTATTCTAAAAGATAATCTTAAGAAGTTCACTGTTAGGCCAATATCTCAGTATCACAATGTAATTTTACATGTGGTGAGCTGTTGTTTGTTATAAGTGGGTACGTCTTGTTTTTATGTGTTGTTTTTTTTTTTGTTTTTTTTTGTTTTTTTTTCTTGCTTTTTTAAATAATTACATCGGATCAAAATAAACTTCATATATTAAAGTACATGTATAACCGTATTTGTATCATTATAGCCAAATCCTATTCAACAACTATCGACAGTGTGACCATCAGTATAGAACAGGGAGATCTAACTTCAACTTATTCCGCTGTTATTGTAAACAGCGTTCCAAACACTCTAACGTTGAGAAGTGGAAGAATATCAAAAGCGATACTAGAAGCTGCAGGGGACATTATTGAATCTGAAGGTAATAATATAAGTTTATTAGGCATTGTTGAGTAGAACAAAGAATTTTAGTAGATGAACATAAAGCTGTCAAATTTATATTGGACTATGCGTTTGCTGAGTCATATATATATATTTTGTAGCTGCATAAGAGTCAATAAAATCAGTATTGTGCTCAACAATATACGTAAAATAAACTTTTTTAATCAGCACCATATTTTTTTATTTTTTGACAGACCTTTGTTAATTCATAAATGGAAACGTAGAACAATAATGGTTTGATATAAATATTTTTGACTTAGAAAATGAAAACTTGTATCGTTTTGATATAAAATTATTTCTGAGACAATTGCGCAGTTAAGTTATTGAAAAGGTGCGTGTTACAGCGAGAACATTCCATTACGTGTATACTTTTGTACTCGTGTTTTTACTTTGAAAGGACGGGAACGGATAAGTCAATGGCGTATGCACATAGCAATTCGACACCTGTGTCTTACTTATATATAGACAATGCTGACACGCTCGTTATCGTAATGGTTTATTCTAATTATGTCCCCACCAAACCTAGTTTGGCGGTCTAAATAGGAACAACTTTTTCCAGTCCCTTCGTCACTTTTGTGTCCCTTCTTGTTTTCTTGTCTTCAAACCGAGTACGTTCCCATTTTCTAGATGGATAGGAAAATTCAGATGTTTTATGTCAATGCAACTTAACAGCACATACATCGATGTGTTTTGTCTTAATGCATAACAGTTCTCCATTAGGTGGAGTAAATGTGCTTATGCTAGGGGCGTGAACCGTAGCTTGTACTTGATAGTACCGTCTATGAACAGGCTCAATCAAACCGAGCCTGCAACATTTTCAATTTGGCCATTTTGAACTTTCTTTAGGGATTCTTATTTTTTCTATTTTAATATTAGCCTGGTCCCGCGATATTTCATCTCGATAAATACCCTCATTATATGAAATCAGACAGTGACACAGTCCATCATTTGTATAAGGAGATAAGAAATTATTGTATTATCATTCAAAAAATTAAAGTATTTACTGTTTTGATTTCAGCACACAAACATAAAAAGACTTTCAATGAAACACAATTAGTTATGACTAGCTCAGGCAGAATGGCTACTTGCCAGAAAATAGTACACCTGAAGGCAAAGAGTTCTTTGAAGGGGTGGAAAAGAGTTATCAAGAAATGTCTAGCCGAGGTTGAGAAATTCTCTTTCAATTCAGTTGCGTTCCCAGCACTTGGTACCGGTAAACTAACGAATTTATTTTGAAATGATTGAAATAATCTAAACAAAATTGCTTTAAGTGCCAATAGTTTATGAGTTTCGGGGTCGATCATAGCTAATTATTTCCTTAAAGTATACCTAAATATATTTATTCCTGGATTTTTTATTTTCGTGTATCCATTTTTAACAATTACATATGGTGATAGTTAATATCCTTTTTCGTATTTAGGTGGGATGAACTTCAGTCCTGCTGATATGGGACGAGCTATGGCAGAAACATTTCAGGAATATATAAATGGAGAAAGCTATCAAGGAAATTTAAAGGAGATCAAAATTGTGCTTTATGATACGGATATGGTCGGCGAATTTACAAAAGGAACAAAAGCCGTTTTGGAATCATCTAGGAACAGAAAATCAACTTGTAAGTTGACAGTAAAACAAAGTTATTTTGACAGTGGATTTTTAATAAAAAAGTAACTTATCTTCAACATACCTTTGCCCTTTACGAAAAGTACTTGCAACATTTGTTTTTACATTTTGCCTTGTTAAACAAACTTTTAAGGTTTCAATTTTGACTTCAATATATCAATTTGTACAAAGAAATGACCGCAACAAATCTTTCCATACATTCAGTCATGTTTGGTTTCATTTAGTTCAGGCATTAGTTTGTCCATGAACAGTTTCAATCAATTTGATATTGTAACATGTACAATTAATAGTCCCCAACTCTGACCTTTTATTTTATTAATATGCTATGTAAAGATATGTAATACCGGATCACGATCTCACACTTATCAACGAAATCAATATATTATTCTTTCGTGGTTATTGTCATGTATGATATTAAATAGTACAAACATAATTATTCATGTTATTACAGGCCTTCCATTATGGACCAAATCACTTTAAATGATATAATCATATCTTTCATAAGTCATAACAACAACTTAGAAGTCAAGCAAACATCTGAATAAATCAAATGTTTTGAGGGATGCTTTGTTTGGTTGTGTGTATATGTTTTGTTTTTGTTTTTTGTTGTTGTTGTTTTTTCGATTTTAAGATGCACTATCTATATCTATAACATTAAATTTTGTTGTTACTGTCACTGAATTGATATGCTTGCTTTTTGTTTTATAGTTTTTAACATATTTCGGCAAAAACATGAAGATAACATCGACTCCTCCACCAATATGGTCATTAATATTTATACAGAGTCACGTGATAGAGCTTCGAATGTAATAAAGAGAATTGAAGACATGCGTGATCAGATGATAAATTCCAAACCATAAACAACAAAATATACAGAAACAAATAACGTGCATACAGGTAACAAATTTATTCATTTATGTTGCATTTCCATGTTGTACCAAATGTGTATTGAAACTTTTCAGATATTCTGTATAAATATTTAGATACATAACATGTGCTTTCAAAATAATAAACTACAACTTTAAAAAATGATACTATTTGAAATCCCATAAAAGCCTCCTGCTTTTTGCTCTTACAACACTTAACCCTTTACCTCATATATACGCGAAACAACGCACTTTCGACCCCCCCCCTTTTTTTAGGCCTGGAATAGTGAAAAAATGTCCTATTTGGGCCCCAAACACATGTTTTCGTTTGAGAAATGTTGCTAAAAAATGTGAGTACTTTTTCGGCGCCGCCTCCCGTCCAAAAGATACATCAGGGAGTTGCCAGAAGGGGGATATGCCCCCTTCTGTTTGGGGGGTTTGAAGGAGGGCGGCGTCCCCCCCCCCCATCGCCAAGAAAATTTTGGACCTGTGAGAGGCTAAAAATGACCACAGGTCGATCATAAGGTAACGTGTAACCAACGCTGAAAAGCCTTTGACTCTATCTCAATCCCTTGAGAAGTTGCAGCACATTGAAATAAGTTTTGATGGTAAAAAAAATCGAGGCAAAATAGTGATTTTTGGCAATTTTGATATGTCCCCTCGTTGCCACGGTAACAGGAAATTTAAGACTGAGCATGTCGTTAAAAAGGCAATGGTCCAGTCAACATTTGTGCCAAGTTTGATTAGTATTGAAGCATTTTTCATAGTTTCATAGCAGTTTGAACTTGTAACAGGAGGCTTTTCAGTGAAAACGGCCATTTTTTCACAATATGCTCATGAGGGAAAGGGTTAATGTCATGCAATGTGTGTTCAACTGTAGACATTTTTACCGGCCATTATTTTAGTACTACATTTAATTCGTGCAATCAAGATAATATATTCAATTTATTTTATAAGATTTACTATGAATAAAGCCAAACCTACAAAGACTGTGATAAACTTGTCCTCCTTTTGTAACTTTCCGAATTTGAAATGTTAATTTCTAAGACGATTGCGTGTTTTGTGTTTTATATAAAATCGTAAAAGTTTGTAAAAATAAATAGGCTTTCAATTGGCGAATTGGCCTTCAGTTTTAGTTAGTTTCTCATACATTTATGTTAATTATGTCAACAATTATAATCGTAGTGTAGGGAAAATGATATTTTAAATATATGAATGAGAAGCCTCAAGTAATGGATATGTGGATTTGTATAAAGCTTTATCTCTTTCTTATCAGGAAACGCGTTCATGTGTTTTGTATACATTGAGAGTTCGGAAGTGTTTGTTTCTGGAACATCAAACAGTCCATTGTAGGGATTCAAATATGTATCTAAAGAAATTTTATATTAACATTACAATTGTTATTTTGTTCTTATGTTAACCCCAAAAGAGATCCAGACATATAAGGGGGTAAATTGCTTGCGCTATACATGATATTATTTTTTAAGGTTATAAAAGTACATGTAATTACATCATTTTCATTATATAGTAACCAAACTCTGTTTTAAAAGCATGTAAAGAATGATTACCAATTTCATTGGGCCTGCTCATGAATAAGTAAATTAGAACTGATCATGACTTGAGAATCAACCAATCTTCTGAATAAAAGGTGGAAAAACTTACAATGAAACTATCATTTAATTGTACCGATAAAATTGTTTACTAGTTTTTGCAAGCACAAAATATGAATTTATGTCTCTGTCTCTGACAAATATAGTATTTCTTTTTTCATCAACAGCTCACAGAAACCAGCAATTACTGAGCTTCAAAAGAAGGGAATGAATACCACCCGTGTGAACACAGCTAGACTGTATTGTTCTTTATATTTATTCTAAACGTACCCTCTAAATGGATAAAAGTTGAATTTCAAAATGTTCATGAGCTCATGTAGACTGTATTGTTCTTTATATTTATTTTAAACGTACCCTCTAAATGGATAAAAGTTGAATTTCAAAATGTTCATGAGCTCACATAGACTGTATTGTTCTTTATATTTATTTTAAACGTACCCTCTAAATGGATAAAAGTTGAATTTCAAAATGTTCATGAGCTCACATAGACTGTATTGTTCTTTATACATTTGTATTTATTCTAAACATACCCTCTAAATGGATAAAGGTTGAATTTTAAAATGTTCATGAGCCCAGGTAGACTGTATTGTTCTTTCTATTTATTTTCAACGTACCCTCTAAATGGATAAAAGTTGAATTTTAAAATGTTCATGAGCTCACATAGACTGTATTGTTCTAAATATTTATTTCCAACGTACCCTTTAAATGGATAAAAGATGAATTTTAAAATGTTCATGAGCTCACATAGACTGTATTGTTCTATATATTTATTTCCAACGTACCCTTTAAATGGATAAAAAGTGAATTTTAAAATGTTCATGAGCTCAGGTAGACTGTATTGTTCTTTATATTTATTTTCAATGTACCCTCTAAATGGATAAAAGATGAATTTTAAAATGTTCATGAGCTCACATAGACTGTATTGTTCTATATATTTATTTCCAACGTACCCTTTAAATGGATAAAAAATGAATTTTAAAATGTTCATGAGCTCAGGTAGACTGTATTGTTCTTTTTATTTATTTTCAACGTACCCTCTAAATGGATAAAAGATTGATTTTAAAATGTTCATGAGCTCACATAGACTGTATTGTTCTACATGTATATATTTATTTCCAACGTACCCTTTAAATGGATAAAAGATGAATTTTAAAATGTTCATGAGCTCAGGTAGACTGTATTGTTCTATATATTTATTTCCAACGTACCCTCTAAATGGATAAAAGTTGAATTGCAAAATGTTCATGAGCTCACATACACTGTATTGTTCTATATATTTATTTTTAATGTACCCTCTAAATGAATGAATGTTGGCTTACAAAATGTGCATGCGCTCATTTAGACTGTATTGTTCTTTATATTTATTTTTAATGTACTCTTTAAATGGATAAAAGTTGAATTTCAAAATGTTCAATAGCTCATGTTAAAGATGAGTGAAAAATCCATAACACAAACTGCAGTCAGTCGGATGTTAAAAAGTTAGTTTGAAAGAAAATGTTTTAATACGCCTGAAAACAATTCCACGTATATTGTTATGCACCGGGCCATCCGTCCGTTCGTCTATTAGCAAAAGCGTGTCCTCTCAGCATCTTTTTAACCGATATAAGGAAATTGAAAATACTTGGTTCAAATTTTAACCATAATAAGACGGTGTGCAAAACGCAGGTATGACGTTTCTCAGGCCACGGTTCATGTAAAACGTAGTCATAATGTAGGAATTTCAAAATGTCATGTCTTAAAAATATCCTAAAATTATGCACACCTAAACTTTATAAGCCAAGAACTTTCGGATGTGACATCAATTTTAAGTCTTCTACAAAAATTATATTAGCCAAGACCCTGAGGTCAAGATTGGCTCACCTGCTTTATGTTGACTAATGTACAAGAAAATCTTATATTTTTGTGGTAAACAACAATGATCAGACCATGGATATTTGGCATTTAGTATTGTCTTGTATGCTCACAGAAACGTTTGATAAATCATGCGCCTGTGATCTTAAATACTCCCAACCATGAATCATTTAGTATAATAGAATATTTAAGAAACAAAAACAGTTTCAGGTCAGGTTTCTGAATTTTCTTCCCTTATTGAAAGGTTATTCTTGAATACTCAAACAAATTTTAATTTCGGCGTATACTGCCTACTATGGCTGTGTTCATGTTTTAAAAAGATCAATGGAAATAGTATTTTTGTTGTTGTAATTCTTTTGTTTTGTTTTTTAATAATTCAAAATTTATTTCATCACTAATAGGAATATTTTATACAACTTTTATCCGATTTGTTGTTGTTATTTAATTATTGGATTTCAAAATTTCATCACTGAAACGAGTATTCTTTTACAATTCTGTATCCGATTTGTCGTTGTTGTTGTTTAATTATTGGATTTTCTGTTTTGAAAGAAACATTAACGGACTATGCATGTATAATATTGTTACTAAAATTATATAGAGGATATTTGTTTAGTTCAGTGTAAGATCAGAATATATTTCACCGAATGAGCACCAAAAGGTATATTGAAATATGAACTTTTGGTGTTCACAAGGTGAAATATATTTCAATCTTACACTAAACTAAACAAATTTTCTTTTCATTGCATGCAAATAAGCGTTTTAAAAAGACATTTAACCTATTTACTGAATGAAAAGCGCGCCAAATAATAATAAAACGTCATTTACGACGTCACGTCATTAAGTTGGTACCCAGTACTGTGCACGCTGGTATTTCATTGAAACAACGTAACGGGCTTAAATTCAAAACAGTGAAATTATCAAAGTGGTAATTTCACTTTTTCAAACAGTGAAATTACTAGTTTTATATCACTGATATATTTCTATAAACCACCGAAAACCATGTAAAAAAGTGATATTATTGTATGAAGTATGAAATTATTTAAATTTCAGCTTGTTAAATGTTTATACATTTTTAAATATTACTTCATTTGTGTTAGAAAATATTTGTATGTCAAGTATGTACATTTCAGTTTTGTCAACACCAGCTTAAGATATATTCTTAAGAAAGTAAATTTGTACGGAATTCAGCCTCAAAAATAACATTAATGTATTTTTGTCTCTTGTTTTGAGGCTGGCTGGTGTTCAGCTGGCCATAAAAGTATTGCTTTAGTAGGAAAACCCTACTTCACTGATATTAACTTTGATAGAAAAAATTTAATGTACATTAATCCCTAGGCGCATACATTCGGCACACTATCATTTGTTATTTATAGCTCTTTGCTCCTTGATTTCTTTGCCTGTTTTGTTTCTTTGTTGTTGTTGTTGTTGCTGTTTGGGAGGTGTTGTTGTTGTTGTTTTTACACTTGTTTTATTTCAAATTTCATGTTTTGATAAACAATATAGCACTATTTGAATGTGTTCAATAATGTAACAATTTTATGTCATTGGTCATGAAAATATTTTATAAAAT